GATGACACTGTGAGTGGTTCACACTGAGTGGTTCACACTGAGTGGTTCACACCTAGTGGTAGTAAGAAGCCCCCGATGACACTGTGAGTGGTTCACACCGAGTGGTAGTAAGAAGCCCCCGGTGACACTGTGAGTGGTTCACACTGAGTGGTTCACACCTAGTGGTAGTAAGAAGCCCCCGATGACACTGTGAGTGGTTCACACCCTCTGTCCAGCCACTGTGGGAGAAAGGTGAGGCTGTCTGTCCCTGTGAAGACTTGTAGTCTCAGCATCCCTCTGGAGTGCTCTGCTCTGTCCTGTAGGTGGGGGTTGCTGTCAGTCGGGTTCTGGTCGATGGCAGTGGCTTTGGTTGTTGATGTGGTATTAAGTTGCCGTTGTATTAGATAAATGGATTTAGGGGAGAGAAATGATTGAGTAACTCCTAATTAACTGACTTTTTGCTTCCCTTTCGTTTCCTTATAGAAAACTCTAGCAAAATTGGATTGTCTAATAAAGACAGAAAAAATCGGCCCATGCAGCAAGAGGATGAGTATAGAGTTCGGATGGAGTTAAACCGCTATTATTTGAGGAAAGACTCCCTGTCAGCGGGGGTTTCTTCAGAACAAAGCTTCTATGAGGCTGAAGCAGCTCATACACCTTCCAGCCGTGGTAAGAGCTCCAAGTCCACCAAAGGTGGTTTCTGTCCTCAGTGCACACAAAGCTGCATTTCAGCATTCAGACTGCTGTGAGATGCTAACGGAACTGAGAGGGCCAGCCCGCAAGGATCTTGAACAAACATCTAAGATGCTCTAGCCATGAGACAGGGACAGGGACGGGTCTGTGCAAGGCATGGAGGTGTCCTGTTTCCCTGTATAGGTTTTGTCTGCAAAGTGGGATTTGTTCTAAGGGAAGCCCATTAAAAATGTAGATTTTATGCAAAAGACCAGGTTGGAGGTAATTACTCACTGTGTTCACATGATGTATGGTGGACCCCTGAAATGGGAGCTTTTATCCATTAGTCTTCCCACCAAGCATTGGTAAGCAGTGTTTCTACCCAGCCTACTTTGTGTTTGCAGCTACTTCAGAAGGTACGAGCACTTTTATAGTACTGTAAATAATCAAAATTCAGTTAATTGTTGTTGTTAAGTGCTGACCCGACTCCAAACCACTGACCTTGGGGTTCACAGTACAGTGCTTATTATGTTGTTGTTGTTGTTAAGTGCGGTCGAGTCGGTTCCGACCCATAGCGACCCTGAATAGGGTTTCCGAGGCTGTAAATCTTTACGGGAGCAGATCGCCTCATCTTTCTCCCGCGGAGCAGCTGGTAGTTTCGAACTGCTGACCTTCCGGTTCACAGCCCGATTCGTAACCACTACGCTACCAGAGCTCCTTATTATAGGACTTGTCAAAACAAAAAAATTAAAGCCTCTTAAGGAATTTTGGTGATACCAGATTTTATTTGCATGAAAGCAAAACACAGACTCCTGAAAGAAAGAAAGAACGGAAGCCGAAGTGTAATTCTGCATATAATGTATTTTGTTCTTTTTGTTCATGAAAACAAATAGCTGTATCCATCTGAAACTAGAAGTTGCAAGATATTTATACCATTCTGAAATCTAGATATTTGTCTAAATTGACGTAACATGCTTAAAAACACACCAAGTAACACTGCCTGTCTAAGCATCCACAGACACATCTGATATTAGTAAGATAACCTTTTGTCATCCTGTTTTCAGGCAGGGTTTTGCTCCATCTTTAATATGCTGGATGTAATAAGCTATCTCGTTCGAAGTAACTGAAATTAGGGGTCTCCCTCTCTCTCAAGTCATGTAAAGGGGAAGTGTGGTGTGAACTTACTTTAAAGGGTTCAAGTGGCAACTCACAACGTTTCGTGTTCCCTAGAAGAAGAAGTTTTCTTCTCCATGGCTGATATGGACATGTCCCACAGTCTCTCTTCTCTTCCACCCCTGGGTGACCCCCCAAACATGGACCTTGAGCTCTCATTAACTAGCACACACGCAAATACTCCTGCAGAATCTCCGCTCAATGCCACTGTGGTAAATATCAGTTAACTTCTGTTGCTCTCTTCTTGAAAAGTTGTTTCCAAAAGTCTGCACTGTTTTCATGCACTTTTTAAAAAAACACCTTTTGTAGCTTCAGCCACCATGGGGAGATTTCCTTGATCATCATAAAGAACCACCAGTGAAGGGCTCGCCCCTGCCACCCAACCTCGTCCACACAGCATCTCCACCGAAGACCTGTAAGTAGAAATGAGACGTTTGGTCTTGGTGTCCGCAGGAATTGTTTCGGGGACCATGTTTTTGTTTCTTTTCTTCAGATACCATTGTTTTGTGTTTTATATTTGCCTTTTTATCTGGGCCACTTAAACTAATCGTAGAAAGTAAATGGAGTGACTGTTGAACAATTCTTGGTGAAGTATTTTAGGGTTGTTGCCTGTTCATTGTAGTCTTTCTGTATTTCAGTCGTTAAATCTTTCCTGTGACAAAGCCCACCACAAGTTTCACATTCGTGCTTAGCAGTCTCAGTCAGCCACCTGGAGCATGCTCCACTGTTTACACGCTCCCTGGGACACACCCTAAACCCTTTCTTGGCCAGAGTCCACTGAGGCAGACACAGGCATCAATCAGGAGAACTGGAGCACGCAGTGCAGTGTGATTCATGTAAACGTTCACTCCGTCAGTCATTGCTGCAACCCCTACTCTTTTGTACTTTAAGTATCAAGAAAGATAGTCATCTTAGTTTACTTTAATTTGTGGTTTAATATCATTCAAACTGATGTATGATCCCCATTGTGTAAAGCTAAGCTAATGCATGAGTGCATAGTTTGTCATTTTGATACAGTCTGTTATGTTTAAGTATGACATTGCATGCATGTAATTGTAGCACATGTGTTTCAGCTCTCCCATCCAGATCTGTCTCCGTGGATGAACCCAGGCCTGAACTGATTTGTAGACTCGCTGTTGGGACCCTGTCAGTCTCTGTGCTTCACATCGACCCTTTATCTCCACCAGAGACGCCCTTGAACCTGAACCCATTGACCCCCTTGGCCGAAGCTTTCTTTACTTCTATAGAGAAGATAGACCCAGCAAAATTTTCAGCAGAAGACTTGAAATCCTTCCGAGCAGTATTTGCAGAAGCCTGCTCACATGACCACCTCAGGTAACACTCTACTGTCCGGTGATGAGCCTTAAAGAGCTCTTGTATTGGACCCTGGTAGTCTCTGCCTCCATCTCGCTTTCTCACTCACATTTCACTAGTAAGTGAGTGGGCTGCCCTTGCCGAGCTGCCAGGATGTTTAGTCTAGCATCTTGGGGTCCTCCCTCAGACGATTTGGCATGTGGAGCAGTTTAGCTCAGGGGTCCCAGCAATCTGGGTTTTTCCAGGTTCTTCGCCCTTAGCTCCTATCAAGTCTCCCTTACCACACAGTGTGCCACTCTGATGTCGTCATGAAAGCCACTGTGGTGGCCCCTGGCTTCCCATACAGAAGACAGCAGGTGGGGACACAATGTTCTAATGAGGGAGGACTCAAAAGATCCATGTGTATTGGCCACAGGCTGGTCCTGAGCTTGGAGGACACGTTTTCAACTTCTGCTTAGAAATAGCACAGCTGTCCACATATCCCAAATGCCCCATGACCTTCCGTGGGTTGCGTCCTAACAGATGAGAGAGATTGGCATTTCTGAGTACAGGCAGAGCTCCTTTTCTTGCTCTTCTCTTCATGGAACTTCCGCAGATACCGTGTTGTTTACAGAGGGAAGGTTTGTGGCACCCTGTGTCGAGCAAGTCTCTGTGTCCCATTGCGGTCCTCTTCACACCACCTCCAGTATTTTCTTCCTGTTGGTGCCCACTTCACAGACTGCAGCCTGGGAAACTAGCGCATCCAGGGACATGCCTGATGGCAGTCTCCTCTGTGTTGTGGCCCTCAGGAATGGAACCACAGTGTCTCTGAGGTCAGACTGTGCAGTGTCCTTTGTGTGCAAATACTACCTAAGTCATTGACTATGAGGGAAATGATCTCTCTGGTGTCGAATAACATTTTTATGCACAAAATTGGAGTAGACACAAATTTTGGTCTTGAAACTTTCACCTCTTTTAAATTATGAACATGAGTATGCATAGTAGTTTTGAGACCTGGCCCTAGTAAAAGAAACCTTGTGTGTTAAGACAATAGTGTTTATGATCAAATTCTTAACAAAAAGCATTTTTCTGCCCATTTTTGACAAAGTTTCAAATCTCTGTCAGTTGCAGGCTGCTTTTAGATAATTTTCAGAAATGACTTCATACATTTTGCAGATTTGAAAGATGTTAACTATTGCAGTGTAAACACTAGTATATGTTGTTGTTGTCAAGTGCCGTCGAGTCAATCCCAACCCATCGCGACCCTGTATAGAGTTTCCAAGGAGCAACTGGTGAGCTTGAACTGCCGACCTTGCAGTTCAAACAGCTTTGCAGTCTGGCGCAGTAACCCACAGTGAAGGAAATATAAGAGTGCTTCAGAGAAGTCTTGGAAAGATTGAATTACAAGATCATGGAATTAATTGCTCCTACAAATTTTTGCAGCCCCTCGTAAATGTATCCTGGGTAATTTTCCATCCACAGGAGAACCGATTTCAAAGCTTAATCCGAGGAATGGGGAGTGGAAGCCGTCTTTCTGGTTAACATCCTGTCAGAACAGGTGGAGGGTTGCTGCACTTTTCCACTGCTGTGCTCTGCAGGAATGCTGAAGATCTACTGTGTAATCTGTAAGGATATGGATTCTAGTAAACACTGCATTTCTGTAACAGGTTTATAGGTACTGGCATCAAAGTCTCCTATGAGCAAAGACAAAGGTCAGCCTGGAGGACTTACAGCACCGACCTGTCCGTTGGGCGCATGGAGCTGGTGGAGTGCTTGTTTCCCGGTGACTCCCAGTCCACACCTGCTCACTATACAGAGGTAAACATGGCCTTTTCCCTTCACCACGCCTCTGTGCGTCTGTCTGTCCTAGGGACACATGAAGGGCAGTGTTTTCTGAGAAATGTACAATTCCAGGAAGGAATGTTACATGTGTATGTGGGTTGTGTGTTTTTTTTTTTTTAGTTTTTATTGTGAACTATGTGATAGTTTACATGGGAGGACATTAGCTTTACATTCATCCTATCTATTTCATTTCATTGCCATGGTTATAATCCCCTCCATGCATCATCAAACATCCAAAGGGTACATACACCCCACAAGCCTGCCCCCCAGTCGTCAACACACAGCCCCTCTCCCTCCCTGGGTCTAGAGTCCCCAGTTGCTCCATCTCTCCACGTCATCGTCTCTGCCTCCGTCTCTGGGGTTGTGTACTTTTTGTTTTTTCATTTGTGCTTTGTTGGAACATATTTTTAAGTGAAACATTCAAGCTATTAGAAGAAGAGTCTTAGAATTTTTCACACCGAGTTGACTTGTTTTCACGTGGCACAGGTTAAAGGGAACTGTAAAGGCTGCCTTTGAAAAGTTCTCTTGGTTTCTGAAGAATTCTATTATTTGTGGGCCGTGTGCTGTGTGCTCAGCACCATTTCAGTCTGTTGAAATGCCTTTTCCCATCTCACTCCTCCGATCTTACTCCTAAGGGTGCTTCCTACAGAAACTTGTGACAGTCACCAAAGTCACATTTATCACTGTCACTTGGCCTTGTAAACGGTTTTCTTCTCAAAGTACCTTCTTGGGCGTCAATTCATTTACTTGATCTTATGGGACTTACCAGACGGGTTCACGTAGTTGAAGCCTCACCCACATTTTGCAGATGAACTATTTCGTGTCACTGAAATGAAAAAGCGTGTCTGAGAGTCCCAGTGTTAGTATGTGACAACACGGGCTTCCAAAAGCTTCCCCACTGAATGCTAGCAGCTCTGTCAGTTCAAAGTGATTGCTTAGGGTTTATGTTTACACTCACCTTCCTATTTGTGTTTTAGCTTTTAACGTTTCATTCCGATGAGGGGGCTGATTCCCACCCCCCTGTGTGTCTGCAGCTTCATTATAAACATTCTGAAAACAGAGCGCCCCAGGTAAGAGTCCCTTTCTCTTTCCAGATTGTCATTTGGAAGACAGTGGTACAGTCCTGTACCCATGTTGTCTGTTATTAATGGCCTTCTTCTTTTCCTTTTGAAAAGGGTAGTCAAGCAAGACTTAGCTCAGTTCCTCAGAAAGCAGGACTGCAAGTGACATTGACGCCTGTGTCCTGTGAGCTGGACATCAGTATTGTGGACAGGTTAAATTCCTTGCTTCAGCCACAGAAGCTTCCTACTGTCGAGACAATGGTGTCTCACATGTACACTTCATATAATAAGCATGTCAGTCTGGTAAGTGTTCCTGAGTTGTGAATGCTAGTCATAGGTTAGAGCTGGCTGGGGGGGTGACTGTAACCATGGTTACCATGATTATGCTGACACGGGCCCTGGACACCATCCTGGTGGTAAGTGCCCAGGGAGCACAGTGGGGAAACTTGGCAGGTAATGGACAGATTGGTGGGTTGAACCCCCAACGGCTCTGTGAGAGAACGATCTGGCCACCAGCTCCCCTAAACACTGTTGTTGGGTGCCGTCAAGTCAGTCTGACTCCTAGCAGCCCCATACACAGCCTTTCCCAGGCCCTGCACAGTCCTCACAGGGTTCCTTTGAGACCATGGCTGCAGTCACTGGGCCGCTGCATCTCACTGTGGCTCTGCCTCCTTCTCCAACATGAGTCTCAGTCTCGCCGTCCTCCCTTCTACGGAGCATTCAGGATCTACTTCTTCCAAGTCTAAAGATTACAGCTTAGGAACCCCTGTGGGGCAGTTCTCTGTCACAGTGAGTCACTCGGGGCCACTGTTGCCTCAGTGATCATTCCTGAGCCTAAGTGTTCTGAATAAATTAAACAGCTTATCTTGTCAAAACAGCATTATTGTTGTCATGCAAAGGGAGACTTCTCTTGTGTCTGGGTAGTAAGTCAGTGTGCTGGTTGACGTGCGAGGTGCTGGGTAATAACCAGATGCTGAGGCGCCTGGTGCAGCCGTGACTGCGCAGCACACCGCGATGTTCCCATCAGCATCTACTGCTGTTGTGAGGTGCCACTGAGCCAGTTCTCATTCACAGTGACCCTGTGGAGGGTTTCCTTGTGGCTCGCAGTCCAGTGCTTTATTGACAGCGCCCCACCAGGAGTCCTCCTAGTACCGCTGTGTGAATAAAATGGGGGTCTCGGAGAAGAATGGGTAGAAACAAAGTCGTACCACCGACTCTGTTAGAATGGTCCAGTTTCCCCTCCTTTCTGTCTTCATGTGAATTTATGAACAGCAATTATAATAGCTCCGCAAAATTTTATTAGCTAATGCATTTTCAAAAGCTCCTTGAGCCTCCTGTGAAGGCAGCGTGTGTTATAGAGCCTCTAAAATGGGAGCGTGTGAAAGTGCCCCACTCTGTCACCACTTGGAGCTGGTGACGGGAGTCTAGTCAATCAGGCAGTCTGAAGTGAGTCATTATGACCCTGTGGAGGGTTTCTGAGGAGCCGCTGCTGGGTTTGAACTTGAAGTTAGCAGTTCAACCCTTATCTTTTATTATTCTAAATCGCTACTTACCAGAATAAGTTTATTAAAAATCCAAATATAGCATAAAACACACACACATACAAAACAAATGCTCTAATCTAGGAGGTTCTAACGCTCATCTGGAAAGAGATGCATCCGGGTTGAATTCTTTGACTGTACTTAGTCTGCATGCTAAGCATATAGCCCTAGAAACTGAATTCTATGAAAAAGAACATGACGTCAGGATTGGAGGATGACTCATTAAACAACCTGCAATATGCAGATGGCACAACCTTCTTTGCTGGAAGTGAAGAGGACTTAAAATGCTTACTGATGCAGATGAAAGACCACAGCCGTCAGTATGGATTGCACCTCAATGTAAAGAAAATGAAAATCTTCACCACTAGACTACTACATGACATCATGATTTATAAAAAAAAAAAAAAAAGATTGAAATTATCAAAGACTGCATTTTGCTCGAATCCATTATCAACACTCATGGAAGCAGCAGTCAAGAAATCAAATGACATATTATATTGGACAAATCTGCAGCACAAGACCTCTAAAATGTTCAAGAGCAAAGATGGCAGTTTGAGGGCTAAGGTGTGCCTGACCCAAACCATGGTATTTCCAGTAGCCTCATACGCATGCAGAAGTTGGACAGTGAGTGAGGAAGACTGGACAGGAATTGACACATTTGAGTTACGGTGTTGACTAAGAATATTGAAAGCGCCATGGACTGCTGGAAGAACAGACAAATCTGTGCTGGAGGAAGTACAGCCAGAATGCTCCTTCGAAGACAGGATGGCGAGATTTCATCTCTCATTCTTTGGACATGTTGTCAGGAGGGGCCAGTCCCTGGAGAAGGATATCATGCTTGGTAAAGTGGAGGGTCAGCCCAAAAGAGAAAGACCCTCAACAAGATGGAGTGACCCAGCACTGGGTTCAACTATGACAGCAGTTGTGATACTGGTACTGGACCGGGCAGTGTTTTGTTCTGTTTTCCTAGGGTCACTAAGTCAGATCCGACTCAATGACATCCAACAACAACCATGTAGGACTCTAGAGACTGATTCTAGAAATGCACGAGTGTTACCACCTACCGCTTACTATGGTTCAAGTTTTATAAGCTACAGCACCTTTTAGGGAGAAAACAAGAATCAACTTTCATCTGAAGGCATGGTCTTTGCTCCTTTATTCCTTTGGTTTATGGCCTTTGGTTATCGTTAGCCCTCTGGTTTGGTTTCTCAGAAACATTTAATGGGTCAGAGTCTGGGGCTGCACAGGGTTTGAGGCGAGTCATTTCATGAGTATTTATATAGAACCTTGTCCTGGAGCTCCAGAGAAGTAAGGGACAAGCCTGTGCGTTTGGTGGATTTCACCTAGTGCCACTTTGACCATTCACCCATGTTGGTAAGATAAATCCTCAAGTTCTGTGTTGTCACTATCACGACTTTTAACCATACTAAAGTTGTTGAAAGGCTAAGTTTTCCTTCGTAATGTGTAATGAGATGGATGTGCACGTACAGTGACCATATCTTTACGCTGGGGCTGGTTTTGTTTTGATTTACTTTGATCTTTTACTTGAAGTTTTAACTTTCGTTGATAGTCCAAGTTTGCCAATGGCTATGGCATTATAAAGTTTCAGAACACCAAATTAATAGGGTATCAGTGTAGTCCTGGTGTGGTCCTGTTGGATAAGCACTGGACTGCTTGCTAATTGCAATGTCAGCAGTTCAAACCCACCAGCCATTCCTTGAAAACTCTATACAGAGTCACTGTGAGTTGGTTCCGACTCATAACAACCCTGTATAGGGTTTCCGAGGCTTTTTAAATCTTTGCAGGAGGAGAAAGTCTCATCTTTTGGTGAGACTGAAACCACCAACCTTGTGGTTGGCAGTCCAGTGCTTGTCTATGGCGCCACCGCCCCCCATCCCCATGGTAGTGATCGGACCCTGATATCACGCATGTGCATGATCTAATTCAGTGCTTTGGTGTTTTCCTGATGCTCTGTGTTCTAGCATAAGGCTTTCACTGAGGTATTCCTAGACGATGCCCACAATCCTGCTAACTGCCGGGTTTCGCTTCAAGTCGCCACCCCAGCTCTGCACCTTTCTTTGCGCTTCCCAATCCCGGATCTGCGATCAGACCAGGAGAGGGGCCCCTGGTTTAAGAAGTCTCTTCAGAAGGAGGTCCTTCACCTAGCCTTCACAGATCCCGAGCTGAAGACTGAGTTTCTCGGGGGATCCATGCCAGAGCAAGTTCAGCTGGAGTTCACATTTCGAGAACTCTCTGGTAAGACTGAGCTTATGGTAAAGGAGCCCCACTGGAACCCACAGCTGCTAGAGGAATACAGTTCAAGGGAAAAGCATCATGCCAGAAAGCAAGAATGCCCCACTGCCCCCTCTCCCCACCCGCCCCGGCTGTAGAAATAGGACAGTAAGCGCTTTCCTGAAGGAGTGGCTGAGTTTGCTGTTACTTATTAAATGCTCCCCTTCCCCAGTGCTGTATGAGGTGGTTGGGGTTGGTGCCATCGAGTTGATTCCAATTCATTGTGACCGCTAGAGGGTTTCTGAGGCTGTAAATCTTTGTGGGAGCAGAAAGCTTCATCCATCTCCTCTGGAGTGGCAGGTGGGCTCAAACCGCCAACCTTGTGGTTCGCAGTCCAGTGCTTATCCTGCAGAGCCATGCACTCCCATTGCATGTGGTAGGGCACTCTAAGCCTCACTGTCGTCGATTTGATTCCGACTCCTTATGAGTGTACAGGACAGTAGAACTGCCCATAGAGTTGCTCAGACTGTTAGTCTTACTGGATCAGACTGCCTCATCTTCCTCTCCCAGGGTTTGAACTGCCTACTTTGCAGCTAGCTGCCTGTTGCTGAGCCCCCTGTGCCTCCAGGGCCCAGTTAGGCACTGCTATATGTCAGGCACTGTGTTAAGCATGTCACATATATGATCTTGTTTCCTTTAGCCTGCCGTCAAGGGACCGGCAGGTGGTCTCTTTCTGAATCGGGCAGTACCCCAGAGCGGAGCCAGGACTCCCATCCAGTCAGACCCCAGAACCGAGCCTTCACCAGTCTGCTCATGTAAAATCTCTGGCTCCTCTGTAAAATCTTGAGTTGCTTTGTTGCGTTTCTTGCAAGTGAATGGTTTGTAGCAGTTGTGTGCCTAGCTGCGTGTGCTCTGTGTCTCTGTCCCCGTGTCGGCCATTCTCTCAGTGTCTCGCAGCTTTGCGTCACCCTCTTGCACACTGCAGACTACGGCCTGGTGTAGACATCACTTTCCTACACACGAGGAAACCAGAAAATGCATGTGACTCACCCTGTGGAGATAGTGGCCCACAGTGTCTGACATTGGCATGGGTGGAAAGGCTTAGAAGGAGCGTCCTCCTCCCCACCATGCTCCTCGGCCACCACAGCCCTCATTGGGACCAGTGGGTAGAGGCCCTGCCTTTGTTCTCGCTGAGTTTCTCATGGTCTCTGAAGAGTTAAGATGGTTAGTTCCCGATCAGGGCTTCTCGAGAGGGCCTTCCCGAGTTACCTGGTCTTCCTTTCTCTCCCGTGAAAGATGCTCAGAACTCTGACGTGCTCATCACTTAACCTGCTCGCTTCATCCCCACATGTACACATGAAACAGACGAGAAAACACTGTAAAACTTGATGCTGTGTGAGATCCCTGCTTTAGAGAATCTGGCTGCTAACTGCAGTGTCAGCGGTTCAAGCCCACTAGCAGAAAGATGGTGCCGTCTGCTTCCATAAAGAAGACAGCCTGGGAAGGGCCAGTTTTCCGGGGTGTCCTCCGGGGTGCCTCTGAGTTGGAGAGGACCCATTGGCAGTGGTTTTGGGTGGGCGGCCCCTGAAAGGCACGGTGTATACTTTGCTGTAGCTCTGGAAAGGAATGTGTTCAGTCAGTCACCCTGATTTCCTCAGGCTCATTCCAGGAAGATAAAGGAGAACCATCAGTGAAGTTTTTCCATGTGTCCAGTGGAGTGGATGGAGACGTAACATCATCAGATGACTTTGACTGGCCACGGTGAGTAAACAAATGCAGAGAATGCATGGTGAAATGCTGCTCTCCTTCCAGCTACTTCATGGCTATTTAAGTTAAACTAGGACTTGAGAGAGCCCAGAGAGGGATGGACAGATGAGCTCAGTCAGGAGCTCTGAGCATGCTCTGTGAAAGCTGTACCTGAGGATATGTTAAGTCAGCCAGGGGAGTTCCATGTGCAGCCAGACTGGGCAGGAGAAACCTTCTTGACATCAGAGCAGCCAGGTAGCTACATGGCTCATGTTGAGTAGTGCTATCTGCTTGTCATAACCAGGTATGATATGGACAACAGAGGACAGCTGACCCTTGAACAACACGTAGAGATGACCCTTTTTGTGCCATTCTTGCGTGTCTTGTATCGCTTCCCTTCCCTCATGGCGTGCACTGTATCAGCCTGTACACCGCAGACGTTCCCTGTGAGAATTGGCTTCCCTTCAGCGAGGCGAGGTTGGATACCGTAGACATCTGAAACACTCAGCACTGTTCCTAACTAGAACCCACTGATTCCAGCCAGCTCAAGGTCAGAAAACTTAGAGATGCAACACGGCTGTTCTGTGTGAGGGTCAGTGTACTGGGCTGAAACAGCAAGAAAAGGACAGTGGGAAGGAAGCCCTATGAGCTATTAGGAAAGGAGTGTCCTCGCTGGGAACACAGCTGCTGCGGTCACGGGCTGCACAGGTTCATTGCTGTCCTTAGCTGTCATCCAGCGGGCTCTGGACAGTGGCACAGGGCTGCCATGGTGTCGTCTGCAAGCGTTATTGGTCCTGGCGCAGCACACTAACAGCTCTCACCTCCACTGACAGATGGGTGGGGGCCACACCTCACATGAGGTGGCTCGGCCTTGCAGTGAGGGTGGGGAGTTGACCAGGGAACCGCCACGGCCCCCCAGGGAGGCTCAGCTCTGTGATAGCTCCCAAACAACCACAAAACCCTTTGTGACTGAGAATCTCGAAGGAAGAGATAACTTGATGCTGCAAATCTGAAACTCTATCCACAACCACCGCCACCCCACTGCCATCGAGGCAGTGCAAGCTCATAGCGACCCGAAGCTGAAAATCTTGACAAAGCAATCTATCTTATCTTTCTCCTATGAAGCAGCTGGTGGGCTTGAACCACTGACCTGTGCCACCAGGGCTCCTCTTCGATTGCCTCGTCTCCCCTTGACCATTTGAGCCAGCCATGTAACTTGATTGCTTAGGTGTGTGTGGGCTCCATTACAGCAGAACAGACTGCACGTGCTTTGGTTTATAACGACTAGGATTCTGGGACAGAGGTCGCTGCTGCTACTAAACCATAAAAATAGCTGGTTTGCTCTCAAAAAGCCGAGTTTCCAGTTAACCAAGTATAAAACGGTGATTTCTTTTTAAATGAACTTAGAACACATCTTATCCATGTCACTCTTAGGTTTACAACATGCTCAGCGTCAGGGTACTTTAGACAGGCGCAGACTCTAACGCAGTCAAAGTCTATCAGCTGCCTTGTTCTCAGTCTCCTCCCAAGTGAGGCTTGCCTGTTTACTGAGAGCTGGCCGTCTGTCTGCTGTCTCTGATCAGAATGGTGCTGAAGCTTAACCCGCCAGCCATGCACTCCATCCTGGAGAGGATAGCAGCGGAGGAGGAAGACGAGAACGAGGACCACTTCCAGGAGGAGGACGGGGCTGCCCACTCCCTGAAGGACGTGTGTGACCTCCGGAGACCAGCCCCGTCTCCGTTCTCTTCCCGTAGAGTCATGTTCGAAAACGAGCAGGTAAAGCAGAAGGGGGCGAGCGACGGTGCCAATCCCAAGACTCTTTACAAGAGCCGGTGTCCTCTTCGTACTCAGTGTTTCGGGCTAACATGAAGCGTTTTCTCTTGCTCTTTCTTTTCCTCAGTAGAAGATACACACCTGTTTATTTCCACACGTACCATGTAGGTGAAGACGGTGCTGCTACTCTTGTTATACCTGATACCTCTTCTTGCTCTCACCTGTTCCATTGTAGATGGTGATGCCAGGAGACCCTGTGGAGATGACAGAGTTTCAGGATAAAGCAATCAGCAATTCTCAGTACGTGCTGGAGCTCACGTTACCCAATATTAACGTAACACTGCCTAATAAGAGCTTTTATGAAAAGCTTTATAATAGGTGAGTTTTAAGACATTTTGGTGAATCTTTGTCATCAGACTTTGCGGCTCTCTGCCTCCCGTCACCGTTTCCCACGTCCCTCCTGTCCTTTCATTGATTTGTTGTATTTGTCATCTTGGTTTGGCGATGATTCTACAACTGAGAGCATTTTGATGTGCTTCTGCCTCAGCGGAGTGTACTGACTAATGTGGCTGGTGCTGAGGCTGCGTGTGTGTGAGATATTTATTCCCCTAGCCCAAGGCTGGCTGGGTGCCCTCTGTCCGCTTAAGGCACAGAACTGAGCAAATGTGACCTCTTGTGCGTAGGCAGCTCCCCTCTGGGGCACTTCTCCTCTGTCCTCTTGAGTCTTGTGCAGTGACAGGAAAAGCGTTGGGAGACACTCAGGTAGATAGCCCACGGAAATGATGACGTGAGAATGCCGAACAGAAAATTTCAAAGGGAAGCTCGCGAAGACAAGGTTAGGGGTTACAGTGAGATATGTAAAGAGTTGAAAACTAATGAGGAAGAATGTACACAGCATTTCTCAAGCCGAAAGAACTGGAAAAAAAAAAAAAGCCAAGCCTCAGGTTTGGAGGAGTCCATGGGCAAAATACTGATACAGGAAGCATCCAAAGAATGTGGAAGGAACACACAGTCACTGTACCACAAAGAACTGGTCAGTGTTCCGTCATTTCAGGAGGTGGTATATGTTCAAGAGCCAATGGGACTGAAGGACAGCATGCAGACTGCGCTGAAGGCATTGATGAGAAACAGGGCTCCAGGAATTGACAGGCCACACACTGAAATCTTTCAGTAAACCAATGCAGCATTGAAAACGCTTGCTTGTGTCTACACCAAGAAGTCTAGAAAATGGCTGCAAGGAGATGCAACTTTGAGCCTATTCTAAAGAAAGCTGAGTCCATATCATCAAACAATACCATTAATACCACACGCAAGTAACGTTTTTGCTGACGGTAATTTAAAAACAGCTGCAGCAGTACATCAACAGGGAACTGCCAAAACTTCAGGCCAGATTCAGAAGAGGACGTGGAAGGAGAGAGACGCTTACTGATGTCAGATGGATCTTGGCAGAAAGCAGAGAACAGCAAAAAGATGTTCACCTGTGCTTTATTGACTATGCAAAGGCTTTCAACTGTGTGGGTTATGCAAGCTATGGGCAACATTGTGAAGAATGGGTGTTTTAGAACACTTAATTGTGCTCATGCGGAACCTGCACATAGACCAAGAGGCAGTTGTTAGAACAAAACAAGGGAATACTGAATGGTTTAAAATCAGGAAAGGTGTATGCCAGGGTTGTATTCTTTCAATCTGTATGCTGAGCAGATAATCTGAAAAGTTGGATTATATGAAGAAGAACATGGTATAAGTATTGGAGGAAGACTCATTAACAACCTGTGCTATGCAAATGACACAGCCTTGCTTTGGGGGAAGTGAAGAGGACTGAAAGTACTTACTGAAGAAAATCAAATCCCACAGCTTTCAGTGTGGACTGCATCTCAGTGTAAAGAAAACAAAGATTCTCACAAATGGACCAATCAGGAACATCATGATAAATCGAGAAAAGATTGAAGTTGTTAGACTTCACTTTACTTGGATGCACATCATTGCTCATGCAAACCGTAGTCAAGAAATCAGATAATGTATTACATTGGGCAGATGTGCTGTAAAAGATCTTTTTAAAGTGGTAAAAGTATATGTGTCACTTTGAAGACTAAGGACCCAAGCCATGGTATTTTCAGACCCCTTGTATGCATATGGAAGCTACACAAGGAATAAAGACCAGAGAGGAATCAATACGTTTGAATTAGGGTGTTGGCAAAGAATATTGACGGAACCATCGATGGCCGAAAGAACAAAGAAATCGCTCTTAGAAGCAGGACTGCCAGGATGCTCTAAAGCGAAGATGGCAAAACTTCGTTTCTTGTACTTTGAATATGTTTTCAGGAGGGACCAGTCCTTGGAGAAGGACATCATACTTGGAAAAGTGGGCGCTCAGCAAAAAAGAGGAAGACCACCAAGGAGATGGCAAAGCAACAGCAGACGCCAGCATCCCAACGATCCTGAGAATGTTGCGGAACCGGCGGAGTTTTCTTCTGTTGTCGTAGGGTCGGTGTGAGTTGAACTAATTCAGTGGCACCTGACAAAAACACATATCAATAGTTTATATAAACACACACTAGATGACTTCATAAAGTTCATGGAAAAGTGGAATGAAAAAGAATAGAATTTTTCCATGTACTTTTTGAAGTCCTTTCATGTATGTGTGTATGTATATATGTATGTATGTGTCCTTTCATGTATGTGTGTATGTATGTATGTATGTATGTGTCCTTTTGTGTGTGTGTGTGTGTATGTATGTATGTATGTGTGTGTCCTTTCATGTTTGTATGTATGTATGCATGTGTCCTTTCTTTCTGAGCAGGAGTTATAGCCAACTCTGCTGTCAATTTATGCATTTAAAATATCTCTAGTCCCTTGGTAAGCTATCTCGTTTTTAGAAAGGTGGCTTCTATACAGTAGAATATTGTTTATAATTGAACATACCAAACAACTCTAACAGGCTTTATGGAATCAAGTATTGTTTCACACAGTCGTCATGATGGGTCCTGAAGTATCTTGAGCAATGCTTACTTTCCTGATGTCAGAAAACATCATCCAGCGAGATTAACGGTACCAAATTGTGCTTGGGCCAAACCATAAATAAAGCAACCAGTTCAGTCTTGTGAAATTTTACATTACATACATAAACAATTGCTAACTTTTACCTCACAATGGTAAGAGAATGTTTGTGAGGAATAAGGTAAAAAAAGGACATTTCCTGAGAAAATTCTTTATAATTTCCTGATGTATTTACACAAGGAGTGTAGACCAGAACCTGGTTTCCCCTTCTTTTTCTCTATCCTGTGATTACTGTATCCCAGATGCGTTGAGCCAAGTGAGTCCCAGACTCTTTTAGCCACCAGTGTGTGTGTCTCTGATGTGGTGAGTTTCCAGCTTGCATCCTGACTAGGGCTTCAGTCTACTGAGAGTTAACTGCGCTCAGTCCTGGGTCTGCTCTAGGCCTTCAGAAGCTCGGGGATCGGCCTGGGGAGTTGCTTGATTCCTGGGTTCTCACAAGATGGGACAGAGTTGTGCCTCGGCGCCTGATTGATATTCATGCTAGGCTCACGATGAGTCTGTGTTTGGGAGGTCTCCATGTGAGTCGTTTCCTCCATTCGTTATCCAGGGTCCATGCCCCCTACTGTTCTGGGTACCCAGGAAGATGAAGAAGATACAGGCCCACTCAGAGTAGGAGACAGGGGGCAGAAAAGGCAAGGGAGATTCAAAAAGTTTTGCAACAATGGAATGAAAAGTTCACGGAATTCCTCCATAGACTTTTGAAGCCCTCTCATATGTGTGTATGAAGGCCATGCCGTGCGTCCAAATCTAGCCAAACTCTTCGAGAGTCTGAGTTATATTGAAAGTTAAGGGGGCAACTGAGTGGAGGGAAGGACAGTGGGGCCATGACAGGTATTTCTTTGAAGGAGGAGAGTGTGGCTGACTGTAATCCATCCAACTCTGACATCTGCCTCAACGTTGGTTATTGGCAACCATTTGGCAGCTCCAACCAGTCTAGAAGGATTTCCCTCTCCTTAATCTCTGCCCCATACATACTCCTCATCTCATGCATGCTTCTCAAAGAAGTTCTTTCTAGTGAAGAGAGAAAAGGCAGGTATCCGCCGAGGAAGCCAGCCAGGGCAGCGGACACTGAGCTGCAGTCAGCTTTCCCAACCTGGTGACCGTCAGACAAACGAGAGGGTCAGCTGGAGGCCACAAGTGCTCCCTGTGGGCTTTGCTGTTGAATTCACTCTCTTTACTTTATGCTGTGAGTATATGACCTGACTAGAGAACACAGGAGGGGCGGCACCGTTGACGCTCGTGAGCAAGCAAGCGGGCGCTGCTCCACTGTTTACGCAGTAAACCCTAACTCCACTTTTGACCACTTTTCAGAGAGTGATTGCGTGTGTGACCTCTTAGAGCTGTTCTTTAGCTTGCCTTCTGTGGAGGAATGGCTGTGTACCTGTCCTACTTTGTCTCTGTAGAATCTTCAATGACTTGCTGCTCTGGGAACCCACCGCCCCTTCACCTGTGGAGACACTGGAGAATATCTCCTATGGTGTTGGACTTTCTGTAGCCAGCCAGCTGATTAATACCTTCAACAAGGATACTTTCAGTCCAGTTAAATCTACAGTTCACTACGGTAACATATTTTAAATGCGTTCTGAATTTGTTTTGCCTGGTGTCTCAGTAAGGAGCCCTTGTGGTATCGTGGGTTAAGTGCTGGGCTATTGATCGTAAGGTTGGCGGTTCAAGTCCACCGGCGGCTTCTGTGGAGAAAGATGAGGTGGTCTGCTTCTGTAAAGACTGATGGTTTTGGAGACCCTGTGAGCAGTTCTCTGCCGTCCTCTAGGGTCACTCTGAGCTGGAGTCGACTTGATGGCCTGGGGTTGGGCTTGGGGTTGGTTTATTGTAAAATAAGCAAAGGAGTACATTTTTCTATTGTGGATCTATAAAAATATTTTTGGGTTTTTTTAAACTATTTTTTCCATTTGTGACTGTATTTTATCATTTCTCTTGATAATTTTTAAGAGCATTTCCCCACTTCTGTGTTGGTGCTGTGGGGTTAATGCGCTAGACTACGAGGTCAGTTTGAACTACAAGGTCGGCTCCTTGGAAACCCTATACAGGGTCACTACGAGTCAGAACTGACTTAACGGCACTTAACAACAACGTTCATATGATGAGACAATTGTCACTTAGGAATGTTCTTGTGACACTGGTAGTAATGTGCACGTTGTTCGGTGCTCAAGAGAGAAACATTGAAAGCGCAGTTTTATTGCCTTGCCCACACTCCGAAAAGACACAGTTGTAGATATTCTTGCAGTAATGTGGATAAGGAGTCCTGGTGTGGCGCTGTGGGTTAATGTGCTGGATTGCAGGGCCGATTTAAATCACAGTATTGGTGGTTCAAGCTCACCAGCCGCTCCTCAGAAACCCTATACAGGGTGGCTGAGTCAGAACCGACTTGACGGCAGTTCACAACAACAACAATGTGGATAAGCTGTCCATGCCATGTGACTGATGTGTGTCTCTCCTAGACGAGGAGAGTGGGTCTGAGGAGGAGACTCTACAGTATTTCTCCACTGTGGATCCCAACTACCGTTCCCGCAGGAAAAGAAAACTAGACCCTCAGAACAGGAGCTCACAGAGCTGTCTCTCGGTTCTCCTCAACATCAGTCATGGGCTGGTGGCAGTATCCACAGAAGTCAAGGTAAGGACTTACAGACCCAGAGTTCTTGTCCAAGCTCGCACACCAGTGAGTGACAGACGAAGATTGATGTTCTGTGGAGACAGCAACTTTAGGGATTTGGTTTTCACTGCAGACCAAGACAGGCTTCACGTGGTCCTTCTTCTGGGAAACAGATGCTGGGTTTGCCTCTCGAGAGAGATATGAGAAATATCTGTTAGAAAGGAGATGGCATAGGGGAACTTCTTAGGCAGATGCTGGGTTTGCTCCTGAGGGAGGTACCAGAAATACCTGTCAGAAAGGAGATGGCATGTGTAGCATTTCCTGATTCACCTTTAATGCCACCATGTTGGAAGTGTGCCAGTCGGGCGACTTTGCCGCCATGTAGGAGAGTTTCCCGAGCTCAGCCTAGACAGTGTTCCAGGGGACAGTCTTCCTTGTCTGCATTTAAAAAAAAATAAAAAGACTCCTCTATTTTTCTGATCATTTTATTAGCAAGAGAATGGAGAGCTTGTGGCGAGCAAGCACGGTGAATTCTGGTTCGAGTTCAGTAATGGCTCGTTATTCTGCGTAACACGATACGAAGGCTTCGATGACAAGCACTACATCTGCCTTCATTCTGGTGGCTTCAGTCTGTACCACAAAGGTAGGACCCATGGGGACTAGGGGTGGCCAAGCTGGCTTAAATGTCTTGTTTCATCAAACAAAATCTATCGAGATCAGAACTTTTGAGACCGGAGATCATTTCCTGTGAGGTGCTCTGCTTTGGCCAAGGTGAGGCTTACTGTAAAGTTGTAATTGCCTCCATTCTTCATTGTAATAGCAGCTTTAGTGAACATAGTTCATATGCTGTGCAGCTCGTCCATCTAAAGTGTGCTTTTCAGCCGTTTCTCCATCTGTTTACAACCCGTGCAGCCATCATCACAGTGCACCAGAGTACATTTGCATCACCCAAAACAGAAACTCCGGACCCGTGAGCTGTCATTTCCTAGCTCCCTAAACCTCCAGCACTCTGGCAACCATTCCTCTACTTTCTGTGTCTATGGATTTGCCTGTTCAGGATGTTTGCTCTAAAGGGACTCATGCAATGGATGGTCTTTTGTGACTGACTTCTTTCACCTAGCATGATGTTTCCAAGTTGTGTCAGCAGGCCAGTGACTGACATTGTTGACTAGTGTGTGGTATGTGTGTGGTAGTGTGTGGATGCCCCTGCCGTGGAGTCGATGCCAACTCAGTGACCCTCTAGGATAGTGCTGAACGCCTCCTGAGGGGGTCTCTGTGGAGGCAGGCAGCCTCATCTTCCTCCCGAATTGTCTGGATTTTATTATCCATTTATCAGTTGCTGGGGTCTTCGATTCTGTATTGCTTTGGGTATCAGATACAGGACCTTTTTTTTTTTTAATGTGATTTGAATGAAAGTTTACAGAGTAAACTGAGTTTCCATTCAGCAATTCATACATCGTGTTTGACGACACTGACTGCAGTCACAGTGTAAGTGCCGCATTCGTCCTCCATGTCCTTCCTGTGCTTCCTGTTTTAGAGTGGTTCCTGACTGACCTTCCAGATAGATGGGAGATGCTTGTCCAGTCCTGATGCCTATCCGATTTTCCTGTTGGAATGTAGTTTTCCCAGCATTTCAGAATCTTGGATGTTGGTTTTAGTTGGGTACATCTATCATACCAGTGTTAGCAGAGAAGTATGGATTGTTAATGTCAAGGTGGTGCCTGGTCATTTTGCCTCCAGGATGGCCTTTATTGTCAGTACTACTATAGGGTAAGCACTGGATTGCTAACTACACTAACTGTAAGGTTGGCAGTTCAAACCCCACCAAGTGCTCTTGAAAACCCTATACTCAACGGCACACAACAACAACAAAAATGTGCATGGATTTTTGTTTAGAATTCTAGAAGTCCATGAACTAATTTCAAATCATCGCGTGGTTCTCTAGGTCTAGTGGACGGAGTGATTCCTCTTACGGAGACAAGGTTGCCCAGTCCGGTGCGCCCACACTGGCTGGAGCCTACCATCTACTCCTCAGAAGCAGACGGCCCCCACCGGGTGTCTTCAGATGGTGTTGGAGGAGACAGCTTGAATATGCTCTCTGTAGCAGTGAAAATACTGTCCGATAAATCAGAATCGAATACAAAGGTTTGTGTTTTGTGCTTGTTTACCATGAAACACTTGCTACTGATTTGATTGCCGGTTAAAAATGACTGGAATTCTGGGGTCACGTTAGGAACACGCGTAATTCTCTGTGCTGTTCTGCATAGGAGTTTCTCATCGCTGTAGGGCTGAGAGGAGCCACGCTCCAGCACAGAATGCTGCCATCTGGCCTTAGCTGGCACGAACAGGTAAGCTCACTCTCGTGTGTGGATCCATGTGTACACTGATGCTGACATGTGACACACATACCGAAAAATTACAAGTCCTAAATGTTCAGCTCATGAATTATCACCAAGTGGATACTCGCATGTGACCATCTCTTAGGCTAAGAAGTAGAACATATTAGCAAGCTGTCATTGATTGTTTCACCTTAGAGTTTGGTCCCTAAAGCTTTCAAAGACAGAGTCATACCTCCCCTTTAACATGAATTCACTGCCAACTAAGACTCCTACCTAATCTAAGTTATTGCGGTCAATTCAGTCCTACAAGGGTACTCTGTAAAAGAGCATAATGCTCAAGGCAGACAGTTTTTACGAGTTAAGCTAAACCGTTGTTTGGTTTTTAAGAAGGCTCTAGTCGATATTTTTGATTGAAGGTTTACAGATTACTTCAGGGCAGTCATTTCAGGGATTCACCCAATCTTCATGGCTACAGGAAGTCTGGAGTGCCTGAGGATTTGAAATTCTGTTCTCCATCAACCTCCTTTTGATCAGGAATCTTCTGTCGAATCTTTGATCAAGATGTTCAGCAATGGTAGCTGGGCACCACCCAGTTCTTCTGCCCTCACTACAAAAGAGGCCCAGCCACTGCCCACCTCCTATTCCCAGCTCTCCATTTTCTGCTGTTGTTCAAGTGAAAAGAGACCAATTGTTGTGCCTTGGATGGTCACTTACAGGCTTTTAAGATGCAGGCACGTGGCAATGAGCTAGGACGCAGAACAGAAGATTAACTTGGATATCCCATGAAACCATGATCCTGGACCCTCCAAACCAGGGAACCAAATCTCAAGAGGTTTTTGGTTGTCCATTAGCAGCTTTAGTCACTGGGACAGAGTCGTTCTCTGGGTCCGGGACCTGCGGAGAGCCTAGATTAGAGGAGCTGGAAGTGATGTGCTGATGGCAGTATGGGCTCTGGTGGATCACATGATCTTTATGAGGTTTCCTGTAATCAACTTTCATTGCACTAATTGTATGCGACTCATGAAATGCAGTTGGTTTTGGGTAAGAAGTTTTAACTCTTATGTAAAAACAAAAAACTAGGGTACTATGTTTCCTTTCCATACTCCTTGTAAGGAGGGACTTTTTCATTGTGCTAGGAAAATAATCAGTTATTTTTAAACATGAATATTTTCAAAATGGTTTTTACATAAAAGCATATAGAAAACCTGAGAAATAAAGGGGTGGTTAGTAGGGACAGTGAGCTGGCTGGAAGGGGGAGAGCTCTCCTCCCGTCTATCCATCTGTCCTGTCTGCCAAGATTACAATGTGACACAAGATGCTAATGAAAGGGACTGATATGCAGATGTAGCTCTAGGCATAAAGTAACAAAAAAGAACTCCCCCTCCCCCCACTGGATCCTAGGCGGACACCGACTCAGAGCTTTACCCAGTCTTCAGCAAAAGCATTTGTCAAGGATCCTTGCAAGCAGGACCGGGTGAGAGAATGTTCAGCATACTCTGTTAGGTAGCTCACAGAGGTGACGGTTCCCGGGGTATCTCTTTAAACAGATTCATTCGGAAGGAAGGGTTGTCCTTTTGCAGTCTGATTTCCCATGAAATGGTCGCTTCCCCTGTGAGGTCTTCCGTTGGGTTTGATCTTCAGGATTTTTTGTCTCAAAACTTTTTTCTTCTCAAGCAGGGCGGTTTCTGTTTTTGTGATTATAGATTTTATACTTCTTGAATATTGCTGACGAACCTGTGTTGGGCTATAACCCTCCAGCATCGTTTACAACTTTCCATGTTCATCTCTGGAGCTGTTCCCTTGACTACAGGTGAGTCCGTGGATGGGACAGAATGAAGCTGTCTTGTCTGAAGTAGGCACCAAGCCTTTCCAGTGCTAATCCTGTGCAGCTCTGTCCTGAATGCCTTGCTCGGAGCTGCAGCAGTTGACGTGTTCTTGTTTTTTTGGGGGGATTTCAGGCCTCTCCATCTGCCAATCCGCTCTCTTCTCACCGTGGAGACCTTCAGTGTTTCTAGCAGCGTCGCTCTGGATAAATCGGAGTCTACACTCAGGTACCCGTGTGCTTCATTGTTTATAAAGTACTAATTGAAGTTGACCTAAACCATGTAATTCGAGTCTCCGCCTGGTGTCAAATCAGCGTTCTTTTACTCATGAACTCACCCACTGCCGAGTGCACTTCCTGCTCATAGCGACCCTATAGGACAGCTGCAGCGAGCGGTACCATTAGGTTTCGGGGCTAAATCTTTATGGGAGAAGACCGCCCCATCCTCCTTCAACAAGGCTGATGGGTTTGAACTGCTGTCTTTTCAGTTAGCAGCCTAATGCCTTACCCACTGTGCAACCAGGGCTCCCTTGTTCTTGGAGTCCTGCCCTTTTATCCAGGTGAACCCCTTGTTTCTCTCTCAGGCAGTTTCTTCCTGTCTACTCCTTTTGTTACTGTATTTCACCCTTCGGAGAAAGATTCATTGAGATACTTCGTTTGCTTTTTAACACATAGGAAATTGTGTAGCTGTGTACTGTGGAGTCGGTCCAACTCATAGCACCCCTGATAAGGTTTCCGAGGCTATAAATCCTGACGTCAGCAGAAAGCCTCATCGGTCGCCCTCGGAACAGCTGTCCTTGTGGTCAGCAGCCCGACTCATAACCCCCTCCGCTGCCAAGGCTTCTTCATGTAGGGTACACACTCCCTATAATACTAGATAAATAGGTTTCATGATTTCAACCCCGTAAATGTGAGCAGGAAAAAAACGCCCAAAATATAGGATACATTTGAGCAGATGACTTAATCTCATTCTTTGTACCATTTAACATTCCTAGAACACATTGACAATGAGCTTTAGGGAAATAGTTGATGACATGTAAAGTTAGAAATTCCATATGGTGTTGGTAATGCTTGTATGAGAAAAAAAAATGTTGCGGTTAAGTGCCATCAAGTAAATTCTGACTCATGATGACCCTGTGTACGGTTTCTGAGGCTTTAAATCTTCTCAGGAACAGAAAGCCTTATATGTTTTTCTTGGAGAACCTGGTGGGCTGGAACCCCAGACCTTGTGGTTAACAGTCCAGAGTTTATTTTTCAGATGTTGGTTTTGTCTTTTTTTTTTTTTCCCCCTCAGAATCATCTTGGATGAGGCTGCTTTGCACTTATCTGACAAATGCAATACTGTCACTATAAATTTGAATAGAGGTAAGAGTTGGTAAATAAAATCTGGAATATGTCAGTGCTGGTTTGTGTGTGTGTGTGTGTGTGTGTGTGAATGTTTTAAGCTTTATCATTCTGAGATAATGCCAGTGAAGTTAAGGTTCTTATGAAATATCAGTCTGTAAAGTTCTCAGGTGATGGTGGTGGTGTGCCATGGAGTCAGTTCTAACTCATTTCTGAGGCTATAAAGCTTTACAGGAGCAGAAAGCCTCTCCACACTTGAGGTTAGCAGCCTGACTTGTCACCACTTCAGTTAAATGCATCAGATTACACAAGCGTACTGAATATGGGGGGTGGGGGGGATTTTTAAAATCTAAAATAAGGTGAGTTATAGGATTTTTATAAGAAAAAAACTATATATTTCCACTGCATTATAAATCATGTGGCACTGTGGGTTAATGTGCCACACTGCAAAGCCATTTGAACTGCAAGGTCGGTGGTTCAAGCTCACCAGCTGCTACTTGGAAACCCTATACAGGGTCGCTATGGGTCAGAACCAACTCGACAGCACTTAACAACAACAACATAGATTTTTATAGTCCTATCCGCAGTGAATTTTTAAATGCTTGTTCTTTTATTAGTTGGATAGCGTTTTTTAAAGCAATTCTTAGATATTTTATTAGTTGCTTTTTAAATTTTAGATTATGTTCGTGTGATGGATACGGGGCTTTTGGAATTAACCATAACTGCAGGGAAGTCTAATTCCGATGGCGAACAAGTGAGTTACTCAAACAAATGGACTTTTTTGTTAAAAGATATTTTTAATAGATTTTAAAAAGTTGATTTTACTATAAAATGGTCTCATATTCCTAATATTGGTCAAAGTAAATAAAATGTTTAAAATAAGATTGAGTTATTATAAATTCCTTTTCTACTTCATGTGTGTCTGTGCAGAAGGGTAGCTCTTCCCCTCCCCTTTGTCCTGTACTCTGTCCAGGCTGGGCCCCGCTTCGAGTTACATTGCTCCAGCGATGTCGTCCATATCCGGACCTGCTCCGACTCCTGTGCTGCTTTGATGAACCTTATTCAGTACATTGCGAGCTATGGGGACCTGCACGCTCCCCACAAGGAAGACATGCCGCCCGGAACCCCTCAAAGAAAGACCAAGGTACAGCTGACACAGAACTCCTTAGAGTTCACCCCCACACCATGTGACCAAAATGTGCCACAGGGCCTTCATGAGGGACAATCACGAGAGGAAAAACTTGGAAAGGTTTATCTGTCTACTCCTTACCTTCAGAGAGAGCGTTCTAAAAATGTATCCATCTCTTCTAAGTTTTCAAATTTGTTGGAGTACAACACTTCATAGTATTCTGTTATGATCCTTTTGATTTCCTTCGGTTCCATTGTGCTATTGCCCATGTGGTTTCTAATGCGTATTATTTGTGTCTTCTCCCTCTTTTCTTTTGTTAGGTTTGCCTAACAAAATCTGTCGATTTTGTTAATCCTTTCAAAAGAACCAGCTTCTTGTCCTGTTGATTCTGTCTATAGTTTTTCTGTTTTCTATCTCATTTATTTCTGCTCTAATCTTTAGTATTTCTTTTCTTTTGGTGGCTGTAGGTTCCCAATGTTGGTCTGTTTCTAATTGTTGTAGATGTTGTGTTACTGTGTTAATTTTGGTTCTTTCTTTCTTTTTGTATGTGTGCATTTATTGCAATAAATTGTCCTCTCAGCACCACTTTCGCCGTGTCCCAAAGATTTTGGTATGTTGTGTTTTCATTCTCATTATCTCTAGGAACTTTGTGAATTCACGTTTAAAATCTTCTACTACCCAGTTACTCTTCAGCAGTGTGTTAATTCTGTTTCCATGTATTTGACTTGATTTCCTTGGTCTTCCTATTGTTGATTTCTAATTTGATAGCATTGTGGTCTGAGAAGAT